TGGGAGGATCCTTAGTACCCTCGCCGCTTCTGGGAGGGTAGCAGGGGAGCCCTACCGCCCTATGAGGGGTTCTAGGGTCCCCACCAATCCCATGTGATGATTTCGGGGGCGCTGCCGTCCCCTAGGAGGGTCCAATGAGTCCAACCGCCATTGGAAGGGTCCCCGATTGCACCTGGGAGGAGGTGCAGGGGCACCACCACTTACAGGTGAGAACCAGGTCTGCCAGCTGCCTGGGATGGGTCCATGGGGCCTCTACTGCCTTGGGTGGGTCCCAATGGCCCAACCACTACTTGGATTTCCTGCCACCTTGGGTTCCCGAGAGCGCCAGCCCTGTATGGTCTCTGGGGAACTTTGTTTGTGTTATTTATAACTGGGAGATGCAACTACATCGCCCATCATCGCATTTCAGTATTATCGCATACTTAAAAACCCGGAATGGAGAATATCAACAGGAAAACATAAGTTTAAGTGTTGTGCTTTGACTGACTGCTCTCTTCTCCTAGTAACAGCAATTTGGTGGGTAGATATTTTATTCCTGTCCACATTTAAGAACTGATGGACATATAGAAACCATACCTAGGCACAACAAGGTATGCTATAGGGCCCCAGGCGTGCAGCCTGTAGTGTCCCAAGGGCCCACTGCTCCTCTGGAGGTCCCAGGGCCCCTCGTCCCTAGGAGTGTCTCAGTGGGTCCCCGCCTACCCTAGGAGGGGGTCCCTAGGGGCAGCAGCACTGTCACACCTGGAAAGGCTGCGGGCCTCCACCGCCCCTGGGAGAGGTCCATAGTACAATCGTCGCTTCTCAGAGGTGTTGCAGGGGGGCCCTGCCGCCCCTATAGGGGTTTCCTGGGGCCCCACCAATCCATCTGATGATTCAGTGGGGCATGGAATCCCATGGGAGGGGTCAATGAGTCCCAGCCACCTTTGGGAAGGGTCACCGGCCTTACCTGGAGGGTCTGCAGGGGGCACCACCTTATCTGGATAAGACCAAGGTCCTACCAGCTGCCTCTCTGGGTGGGTCCCTCGAGCCTCTGCTGCCCTAGGCAGTTTCCACAGAAAGTGGCTCGACCTTCGCCTAGGAGGTTCCCTGTCGCCGTGGGTGGTTCCTAAGGCGTCAGCCCTATGTATGGTCTCTGGGGGCAGTTGTTTTTCTGTTATTTAGGCGTTGGAATGCAACCCATCGCCCATCATCCTGTTCAGTATTATCGCATACTTAAAAACGGAATGGAGAATAATATCCAACAAGGAAAACATAAGTTGGGGTGTTGTGCTGACTGACTGCTCTCTTCTCCTATTGGCTGTAATTTGGTGGGTAGATATTTTTAGTCCTGGCATCCACATTTAAGGAACTGATAGACGTATATAAAATATATACTAGGCACAACCAGGTATGCTATAAGGGCCCTGGACGTGCAGCCCCAGTAGTGTCCCCAAGGGGCCCCACTGCTCCTGGAGATTCCAGCGCCCCTCTTGTCCCTGGGAGTGTCTCGAGTGGGTCCGCCTACCCAGGAGGGTCCCTGAGGCGCCTATCACCTGGAAAGGTACTGCAGCTCCACCGCGCCCTGGGAGGGGGTCCATAGTACTGTCGTCGCTTCACCGGAAGTGTTGCAGGGGCTGCCGCCCCTATGTGGGGTTTCCTGGGGCCCCACAATCCATCTGATGATTCCAGTGGGGGGCCTTGCGTCCATGGAGGTCAATGAGTCCCAGCCACCTTTGGAAGGGTTACCGATGCACCTGGAGGGTCCCAGGGGGCACCACCTTGTGGATAAGACCAAGGTCCCTGGCTGCCTCTGGGATGGGTCCATGGGGCCTCTGCTGCCCCTAGGCGGAGTCCCAAGTGGCTCCGGCCACTCCTGATTGCCTGTCGCACGTGGGTGGTTCTAAACTCGTCAGCCTGTATGGTCTTCTGGGGGCAGTTGTTTACTATTTATTTTAGGCGTTTGGAGATGCAGCTTCATCCGCCCATCATCACATTCCAGTATTGCTCTAGCATACTTAAAACGGAATGGAGAATAATATCCAACAAGGAAGAAGCTTATAAGTTGAAGGTGTTGTGTGACTGACTGCTCTCTTCTCCTGTGAAACATAATTTGGTGGGTAGATATTTTTAGTCCACCAATGCATTTAAGGAACTGATGAATGCATTATAAAATATGTGCCAAGGCGGTAGGTATGCTATAGGGCACTTAGAGTGCAGCCCCCCTGGAATGTCTTAAAGGGGCCCTCATCACCCCTAGAGTGGTCCCCAGGGCCCCCTCCGTCCTATAGGCGTCTTAGCGGGCGGGTCCATAGAGCACGGGAGATCCCTAGGGGACGCTGTCACACCTGGAAAGGAACTGCAGGCCTCACCGCCACTGGGAGATCGCCGTGCCCTCACTTGCTTCTGGGGAGGTGGCAGAGCCCTGCCGCCCCCTATGAGTTCCTGGGGTCCCCACCCAATCCCATGTGATGATTTCAGGGGCCTGCCGTCCCTGGGAGGTTGACGAGTCAAGTCGCCCTTGGAAGGGTCCCGATGCACCTGGGAGGGTCGCCAGGGGGACACCACGCTACTAATTGAGAACAGGTCACCAACTGCCTCTGGGATGGGTCCATGGGGCCTCTGCTGCCGCCAGGTGGGTCCCAATGGCCCCAGCCACTACTTAGATGTTCCTGCCGCACCTTAGGTTCTGACGCCAGCCCTGTATGGTCTCTGGGGAACTTGTTTTTGTGTTGTTTATAACGCTGGGAATCACTTCATCGCCCATCTCATCACATTCCAGTATTATCGCATACTTAAAAAACGGAATGAGAGAATAATATCCAACAGGAAAACATAAGTTTGAGGTGTTGTGCTGACTGACTGCTCTCTCCTATTGGCTGTAATTTGGTGGGTAGATATTTTGGTCACAATCACATTTAAGAACTGATGGACATTATAAGAAAATATATGCCTAGGCACAACAGGTATGCTATAGGGCCCCTGGGCGTGCAGCCTGTAGTGTCCCCAAGGGCCCCACTGCTCCTGGGAGGGTCCCAGGGCCCCCTCTCGTCCCTGGGAGTGTCTCAGTGGGTCCCGCCTACCTAGGAGGGTCCCTAGGGGCGCTGTCACACCTGGAAAATTACTGCGGGCCTCCACGCCCCTGGGAGGTCCTTGAGCACAATCGTCGCTTCTACCGGAGGTGTTGCAGGGGGCCCTGCCACCGCCCTATGAGTTTCCTGGGGCCCCGCAATCCATGCGATGATTCCAGTGGGGAGCCGCCGTCCATGGGAGGGTCCCAGCTGAGTCCCAGCCACCTTTGGAAGGTCTCGCGCACCTGGAGAGGTCTGGGGGGCCTACACCTTATCTATGGATAAGACCAAGGTCCTAGCTGCCTCTGGAGGCCAGGTCCCTCGGGCCTCTGCTGCCTAGGCAGTTCCCAAGTGGCTCGGCCACTTCTAGGAGGCCGTGGAGGTGGTTCCCTAGAGCGTCAGCCTGTATATGTCTCTGGGGGCAGTTGTTTTCTGTTATTTAGGAAGGCGTTGGGGAATCGCTTCCATCGCCCATCATCACATTTCAGTATTATCGCATGCTTAAAAACGGAATGGAGAATAATATCCAACAGGAAAACATAAGTTGGGGTGTTGTGCTGACTGACTGCTCTCTTCTCCTGGCTGTAATTTGGTGGGTAAAGATATTTTAGTCCACCAATCACATTCAAGAACTTGATGAACGTATAAAATATATACCTAGAGCATCAGGTATGCTATAGGGCCCTGGACGTGCAGCCCCAGTAGTGTCCCAAGGGCCCCACTGCTCCTGGAGGGTTCAAGCGCCCCTCTTGTCCTAAGGAGTGTCTCAGTGGGTCGCCTACTGGGAGGGTCCCTAGGGCGCTGTCACACCTGGAAGGTACTGCAGGACTCCACCGCCCCTGGGAGGGTCCTTAAAATACAATCGTCGCTTCTCGGAGGTGTTGCAGGGCCCTGCCCGCCGTATGAGGTTTCCTGGGGCCCCCGCAATCCATGCGATGATTCCAGTGGGGGCCGCCCGTCCACTGGGGTCCAATGAGTCCCAGCCACCTTTGGAAGGTTGCGATGCACCTGGGAGTTAGGGGCACCACCTTATCTGGATAAGACCCAAGGTCCTTCCTGCCTCTAGGTGGGTCCATGGGAGCCTCTGCTGCCCTAGGCGGGTCCCCAAGTAGCTCGGCCACTCTAGGAGGTTGCCTGTCGCACGTGGGTGGTTCCCTAAGAGCGTCAGCCCTGTATGGTCTCTGGGGCAGTTGTTTTCTGTTATTTAGAAGCGTTGGGAGATGCAACACATCGCCCGCATCACATTTCAGTATTATCATACTTAAAAACAGAATGGAGAATAATATCCCGCTGGGGAAAACATAAGTTGGGGTGTTGTGCTGACTGACTGCTCTCTTCTCCTATTAGCTGTAATTTGGTGGGTAGATATTTTAGTCCACCAATCACATTTAAGGAACTGATGGACGTATAAAATATATGCCAAGGCACGACCAGGTATGCTATAGGGCCCCTTGAAGTGCGGCCCCTGGAATGTCTGAGGCCCTCATCACCTAGAGTGGTCCCAGGAGCCCCCTCTCCGTCCCTAGAGCGTGTCTTAGCGGGTCCCACGCCGACCCTGGGAGGTCCCTAAGGGGCACTGTCACACCTGGAAAGGAACTGGGCCTCCCACCGCCACCTGGGAGGATCATAGTACCCTCACTTGCAGCTTCTGGGAGGTCAACAGGGGGCCTACGCCCCTATGAGGGTTCCTGGGGTCCCCACCAATCCATGTATGATGATTTCAGAGGCGCTGCTGCCGTCCTGGGAGGTCAATGAGTCCAAGTCGCCCTTGGAAGGGTCCCCGATGCACCTGGGAGGGTCGCAGGGGGCACCACCTTACCTGGGTGAACCAGGTCACCAGCTGCCTCTGGGATGATGGGTCCATGGGGCCTCTGCACCCTTAAGGTGGGTTCCAGCTGGCCCCAGCCACTACTTGGATGTTCCTGCCGCACCTTGGGAGGGGTTCACGAGAGCGCCAGCCCTGTATAGTCTCTGGGGAACTTGTTTGTGTTATTTATAACGCTGGGAGATACAACTACATCGCCCATCCATCCCACATTTCAGTATTATAGCATACTTAAAAACGGAATGGAGAATAATATCCAACAGGAAAACATAAGTTGGGGTGTTGTGTGCTGTTGACTATACTCTTCTCCTGTGGCTGTAATTTGGTGGGTAGGCTCTTTTAGTCACCAATCACATTCTAAGGAACTGATGGACGTATAAAATATATACCAAGGCACAACAAGGTATGCTATAGGGCCCCTGGACGTGCAGCCCCTGTAGTGTCCCAAGGAGCCCCACTGCTCCTGGAGGGTCTCAGGGCCCCCTCTCGTCCCTGGGAGTGTCTCAGTGGGTCCCGCCTACCCTAGGAGGGTCCCTAGGGGCGCTGTCACACCTGGAAAGGTACTGCGGGCCTCCACCGCCCCTGGGAGGGTCCTTAGTACAATCGTCGCTTCTCGGAGATGTTGCAGGGGCCCTGCCGCCCCTATGAGGTTTCCTGGGGCCCCCGCAATCCATGCGATGATTCCAGTGGGGGCCGCCGTCCATGGGAGGGTCCAATGAGTCCCAGCCACCTTTGGAAGGGTCACCGACGCACTTGGAGGGTCCCAGGGGGCACCACCTTATCTGGATAAGACCAAGGTCCCTGGCTGCCTCTGGGTGGGTCCCTCGGGCCTCTACTGCCCCTAGGCGGGTCCCAAGTGGCTCCGGCCACTTCTAGGAGGTTCCCTGTCGCACGTGGGTGGTTCCCTAAGAGCGTCAGCCCTGTATGGTCTCTGGGGGCAGTTGTTTTTCTGTTATTTAGAGCGTTGGGAGATGCAACTACATCGCCCATCATCACATTTCCAGTATTATCGCATACTTAAAAAAGGAATGGAGAATAATATCCAACAGGAAAACATAAGTTGGGGTGTTGTGCTGACTGACTGCTCTCTTCTCCTATTGGCTGAAATTTGGTGGGTAGATATTTTAGTCCACCAATCACATTTAAGGAACTGATGGACATATAAAATATGTACCAAGGCACGACCAGGTATGCTATAGGGCCCCTTGAAGTGCGGCCCCTGATATGTCCCAAGGGCCCTCATCACCCCTAGGTGGTCCCAGGGCCCCCTCCCGTCCCTAGGCGTGTCTTAGCGGGTCCCGCCGACCCTGGGAGGGTCCCTAGGGGCGCTGTCACACCTGGAAAGGAACTGCGGGCCTCCACCGCCACTGGGAGTATCCTTAGTACCCTCGCCGCTTCTGGGAGGGTTGAAGGGGCCCTGCCGCCCCTATGAGGGTTCCTGGGGTCCCCGCAATCCATGTGATTATTTCAGGGGGCGCTGCCGTCCCTGGGAGGGTCCAATGAGTCCAAGCCGCCCTTGGAAGGGTCCCCGATGCACCTGGGAGGGTCGCAGGGGGCACCACCTTACCTGGGTGAGAACCAGGTCACCAGCTGCCTCTGAGATGGGTCCATGGGGCCTCTGCTGCCCTTGGCTGGGTCCCAATGGCCCCAGCCACTACTTGGATGTTCCCTGCCGCACCTTGGAGGTTCCCTGAGAGCGCCAGCCCTGTATGGTCTCTGGGGGAACTTGTTTTTGTGTTATTTATAACGCTGGGAGATGCAACTACATCGCCCATCATCACATTTCCAGTATTATCGCATACTTAAAAACGGAATGGAGAATAATATCCAATAGGAAAACATAAGTTGGGGTGTTGTGCTGACTGACTGCTCTCTTCTCCTATTGGCTGTAATTTGGTGGGTAGATATTTTAGTCCACCAATCACATTTAAGGAACTGATGGACGTATAAAATATATACCTAGGCACAACAAGGTATGCTATAGGGCCCCTGGACGTGCAGCCCCTGTAGTGTCCCAAGGAGCCCCACTGCTCCTGGAGGGTCCCAGGGCCCCCTCTCGTCCCTGGGAGTGTCTCAGTGGGTCCCGCCTACCCTAGGAGGGTCCCTAGGGGCGCTGTCACACCTGGAAAGGTACTGCGGGCCTCCACCGCCCCTGGGAGGGTCCTTAGTACAATCGTCGCTTCTCGGAGGTGTTGCAGGGGCCCTGCCGCCCCTATGAGGTTTCCTGGGGCCCCCGCAATCCATGCGATGATTCCAGTGGGGGCCGCCGTCCATGGGAGGGTCCAATGAGTCCCAGCCACCTTTGGAAGGGTCACCGACGCACCTGGAGGGTCCCAGGGGGCACCACCTTATCTGGATAAGACCAAGGTCCCTGGCTGCCTCTGGGTGGGTCCCTCGGGCCTCTGCTGCCCCTAGGCGGGTCCCAAGTGGCTCCGGCCACTCCTAGGAGGTTCCCTGTCGCACGTGGGTGGTTCCCTAAGAGCGTCAGCCCTGTATGGTCTCTGGGGGCAGTTGTTTTTCTGTTATTTAGAGCGTTGGGAGATGCAACTACATCGCCCATCATCACATTTCCAGTATTATCGCATACTTAAAAACGGAATGGAGAATAATATCCAACAGGAAAACATAAGTTGGGGTGTTGTGCTGACTGACTGCTCTCTTCTCCTATTGGCTGTAATTTGGTGGGTAGATATTTTAGTCCACCAATCACATTTAAGGAACTGATGGACGTATAAAATATGTACCAAGGCACGACCAGGTATGCTATAGGGCCCCTTGAAGTGCGGCCCCTGGAATGTCCCAAGGGCCCTCACCACCCCTAGGTGGTCCCAGGGCCCCCTCCCGTCCCTAGGCGTGTCTTAGCGGGTCCCGCCGACCCTGGGAGGGTCCCTAGGGGCGCGGTCACACCTGGAAAGGTACTGTGGGCCTCCACCGCCCCTGGGAGTATCCTTAGTACCCTCGCCGCTTCTGGGAGGGTTGCAGGGGCCCTGCCGCCCCTATGAGGGTTCCTGGGGTCCCCGCAATCCATGTGATGATTTCAGGGGGCGCTGCCGTCCCTGGGAGGGTCCAATGAGTCCAAGCCGCCCTTGGAAGGGTCCCCGATGCACCTGGGAGGGTCGCAGGGGGCACCACCTTACCTGGGTGAGAACCAGGTCACCAGCTGCCTCTGGGATGGGTCCATGGGGCCTCTGCTGCCCCTAGGTGGGTCCCAATGGCCCCAGCCACTACTTGGATGTTCCCTGCCGCACCTTGGAGGTTCCCTGAGAGCGCCAGCCCTGTATGGTCTCTGGGGGCAGTTGTTTTTCTGTTATTTAGAGCGTTGGGAGATGCAACTACATCGCCCATCATCACATTTCCAGTATTATCGCATACTTAAAAACGGAATGGAGAATAATATCCAACAGGAAAACATAAGTTGGGGTGTTGTGCTGACTGACTGCTCTCTTCTCCTATTGGCTGTAATTTGGTGGGTAGATATTTTAGTCCACCAATCACATTTAAGGAACTGATGGACGTATAAAATATATACCTAGGCACAACCAGGTATGCTATAGGGCCCTTGGACGTGCAGCCCCTGTAGTGTCCCAAGGGGCCCCACTGCTCCTGGAGGGTCCCAGGGCCCCCTCTCGTCCCTGGGAGTGTCTCAGTGGGTCCCGCCTACCCTAGGAGGGTCCCTAGGGGCGCTGTCACACCTGGAAAGGTACTGCGGGCCTCCACCGCCCCTGGGAGGGTCCTTAGTACAATCGTCGCTTCTCGGAGGTGTTGCAGGGGCCCTGCCGCCCCTATGAGGTTTCCTGGGGCCCCCGCAATCCATGCGATGATTCCAGTGGGGGCCGCCGTCCATGGGAGGGTCCAATGAGTCCCAGCCACCTTTGGAAGGGTCACCGACGCACCTGGAGGGTCCCAGGGGGCACCACCTTATCTGGATAAGACCAAGGTCCCTGGCTGCCTCTGGGTGGGTCCCTCGGGCCTCTGCTGCCCCTAGGCGGTTCCCAAGTGGCTCCGGCCACTTCTAGGAGGTTCCCTGTCGCACGTGGGTGGTTCCCTAAGAGCGTCAGCCCTGTATGGTCTCTGGGGCAGTTGTTTTTCTGTTTTTTAGAGCGTTGGGAGATGCAACTTCATCGCCCATCATCACATTTCCAGTATTATCGCATACTTAAAAACGGAATGGAGAATAATATCCAACAGGAAAACATAAGTTGGGGTGTTGTGCTGACTGACTGCTCTCTTCTCCTATTGGCTGAAATTTGGTGGGTAGATATTTTAGTCCACCAATCACATTTAAGGAACTGATGGACATATAAAATATGTACCAAGGCACGACCAGGTATACTATAGGGCCCCTTGAAGTGCGGCCCCTGATATGTCCCAAGGGCCCTCATCACCCCTAGGTGGTCCCAGGGCCCCCTCCCGTCCCTAGGCGTGTCTTCGCGGGTCCCGCCGACCCTGGGAGGGTTCCCTAGGGGCGCTGTCACACCTGGAAAGGAACTGCGGGCCTCCACCCCCACTGGGAGGATCCTTAGTACCCTCGCCGCTTCTGGGAGGGTAGCAGGGGCCCTGCCGCCCCTATGATTGTTCCTAGGGTCCCCGCAATCCATGTGATGATTTCAGGGGGCGCTGCCGTCCCTAGGAGGGTCCAATGAGTCCAAGCCGCCCTTGGAAGGGTCCCCGATGCACCTGGGAGGGTCGCAGGGGGCACCACCTTACCTGGGTGAGAACCAGGTCACCAGCTGCCTCTGGGATGGGTCCATGGGGCCTCTGCTGCCCCTGGGTGGGTCCCAATGGCCCCAGCCACTACTTGGATGTTCCCTGCCGCACGTTGGAGGTTCCCTGAGAGCGCCTGCCCTGTATGGTCTCTGGGGGCAGTTGTTTTTGTGTTATTTATAATGCTGGGAGATGCAACTACATCGCCATTATCACATTTCCAGTATTATAGCATCCTTAACAACGGAATGGAGAATGATATCCAACAGGAAAACATAAGTTGGGGTGTTGTGCTGACTGACTGCTCTCTTTTCCTATTGGCTGTAATTTGGTGGGTAGATATTTTAGTCCACCAATCACATTTAAGGACCTGATGGACGTATAAAATATATACCTAGGCACAACCAGGTATGCTACAGGGTCCCTGGACATGCAGCCCCTGTAGTGTCCCAAGGGGCCCCACTGCTCCTGGAGGGTCCCAGGGCCCCCTCCCGTCCCTGGGAGTGTCTCAGTGGGTCCCGCATACCCTAGGAGGGTCCCAAGCGGCGCTGTCACACCTGGAAAGGTACTGCGGGCCTCCACCACCCCTGCGAGGGTCCTTAGTACAATCGTCGCTTCTCGGAGGGTTGCAGAGGCCCTGCCGCCCCTATGAGGGTTCCTGGGGCCCCCCGCAATCCATGCAATGATTCTAGGGGGGGCCGACGTCCATGGGAGGGTCCAATGAGTCCCAGCCGCCTTTGGAAGGGTCACCGACGCACCTGGAGGGTCCCAGGGGGAACCACCTTATCTGGATAGGATCCACGTTCCTGGCTGCCTCTGGGTGGGTCCCTCGGGCCTCTGCTGCCCCTAGGCGGTTCCCAAGTGGCTCCGGCCACTTCTAGGAGGTTCCCTGTCGCACGTGGGTGGTTCCCTAAGAGCGTCAGCCCTGTATGGTCTCTGGGGGCAGTTGTTTTTCTGTTATTTAGAGCGTTGGGAGATGCAACTACATCGCCCATCATCACATTTCCAGTATTATCGCATACTTAAAAACGGAATGGAGAATAATATCCAACAGGAAAACATAAGTTGGGGTGTTGTGCTGACTGACTGCTCTCTTCTCCTATTGGCTGTAATTTGGTGGGTAGATATTTTAGTCCACCAATCACATTTAAGGAACTGATGGACGTATAAAATATATACCTAGGCACAACCAGGTATGCTATAGGGCCCCTTGAAGTGCGGCCCCTGGAATGTCCCAAGGGCCCTCACCACCCCTAGGTGGTCCCAGGGCCCCCTCCCGTCCCTAGGCGTGTCTTAGCGGGTCCCGCCGACCCTGGGAGGGTTCCCTAGGGGCGCTGTCACACCTGGAAAGGTACTGCGGGCCTCCACCGCCCCTGGGAGTATCCTTAGTACCCTCGCCGCTTCTGGGAGGGTTGCAGGGGCCCTGCCGCCCCTATGAGGGTTCCTGGGGCCCCCGCAATCCATGTGATGATTTCAGGGGGCGCTGCCGTCCCTGGGAGGGTCCAATGAGTCCAAGCCGCCCTTGGAAGGGTCCCCGATGCACCTGGGAGGGTCGCAGGGGGCACCACCTTACCTGGGTGAGAACCAGGTCACCAGCTGCCTCTGGGATGCGTCCATGGGGCCTCTGCTGCCCTTGGGTGGGTCCCAATGGCCCCAGCCACTACTTGGATGTTCCCTGCCGCACCTTGGAGGTTCCCTGAGAGCGCCAGCCCTGTATGGTCTCTGGGGGAACTTGTTTTTGTGTTATTTATAACGCTGGGAGATGCAACTACATCGCCCATCATCACATTTCCAGTATTATCGCATACTTAAAAACGGAATGGAGAATAATATCCAACAGGAAAACATAAGTTGGGGTGTTGTGCTGACTGACTGCTCTCTTCTCCTATTGGCTGTAATTTGGTGGGTAGATATTTTAGTCCACCAATCACATTTAAGGAACTGATGGACGTATAAAATATATACCAAGGCACAACAAGGTATGCTATAGGGCCCCTGGACGTGCAGCCCCTGTAGTGTCCCAAGGAGCCCCACTGCTCCTGGAGGGTCTCAGGGCCCCCTCTCGTCCCTGGGAGTGTCTCAGTGGGTCCCGCCTACCCTAGGAGGGTCCCTAGGGGCGCTGTCACACCTGGAAAGGTACTGCGGGCCTCCACCGCCCCTGGGAGGGTCCTTACTACAATCGTCGCTTCTCGGAGATGTTGCAGGGGCCCTGCCGCCCCTATGAGGTTTCCTGGGGCCCCCGCAATCCATGCGATGATTCCAGTGGGGGCCGCCGTCCATGGGAGGGTCCAATGAGTCCCAGCCACCTTTGGAAGGGTCACCGACGCACTTGGAGGGTCCCAGGGGGCACCACCTTATCTGGATAAGACCAAGGTCCCTGGCTGCCTCTGGGTGGGTCCCTCGGGCCTCTACTGCCCCTAGGCGGGTCCCAAGTGGCTCCGGCCACTTCTAGGAGGTTCCCTGTCGCACGTGGGTGGTTCCCTAAGAGCGTCAGCCCTGTATGGTCTCTGGGGGCAGTTGTTTTTCTGTTATTTAGAGCGTTGGGAGATGCAACTACATCGCCCATCATCACATTTCCAGTATTATCGCATACTTAAAAACGGAATGGAGAATAATATCCAACAGGAAAACATAAGTTGGGGTGTTGTGCTGACTGACTGCTCTCTTCTCCTATTGGCTGTAATTTGGTGGGTAGATATTTTAGTCCACCAATCACATTTAAGGAACTGATGGACGTATAAAATATGTACCAAGGCACGACCAGGTATGCTATAGGGCCCCTTGAAGTGTGGCCCCTGGAATGTCCCAAGGGCCCTCATCACCCCTAGGTGGTCCCAGGGCCCCCTCCCGTCCCTAGGCGTGTCTTAGCGGGTCCCGCCGACCCTGGGAGGGTCCCTAGGGGCGCTGTCACACCTGGAAAGGAACTGCGGGCCTCCACTGCCACTGGGAGGATCCTTAGTACCCTCGCCGCTTCTGGGAGGGTAGCAGGGGCCCTGCCGCCCCTATGAGGGTTCCTGGGGTCCCCGCAATCCATGTGATGATTTCAGGGGGCGCTGCCGTCCCTGGGAGGGTCCAATGAGTCCAAGCCGCCTTTGGAAGGGTCACCGACAAACCTGGAGGGTCCCAGGGGGCACCACCTTATCTGGATAGGATCTACGTTCCTGGCTGCCTCTGGGTGGGTCCCTGGGGCCTCTACTGCCCCTGGGTGGGTCCCAAGTGGCCTCGGCCACTCCTAGGAGGTTCCCTGTCGCACGTGTGTGGTTCCCTAAGAGCGTCAGCCCTGTATGGTCTCTGGGGGCAGTTGTTTTTCTGTTATTTAGAGCGTTGGGAGATGCAACTACATCGCCCATCATCATATTTCCAGTATTATTGCATACTTAAAAACGGAATGGAGAATAATATCCAACAGGAAAACATAAGTTGGGGTGTTGTGCTGACTGACTGCTCTCTTCTCCTATTGGCTGTAATTTAGTGGGTAGATATTTTATTCCACCAATCACATTTAAGGAACTGATGGACGTATAAAATATGTACCAAGGCACGACCAGGTATGCTATAGGGCCCCTTGAAGTGTGGCCCCTGGAATGTCCCAAGGGCCCCCACTACCCCTAGGTGGTACCAGGGCCCCCTCCCGTCCCTAGCCGTGTCTTAGCGGGTCCCGCCGACCCTGGGAGGTTCCCTAGGGGCGCGGTCACACCTGGAAAGGTACTGTGGGCCTCCACCGCCCCTGGGAGTATCCTTAGTACCCTCGCCGTTTCTGGGAGGGTTGAAGGGGCCCTGCCGCCCCTATGAGGGTTCCTGGGGCCCCCGCAATCCATGTGATGATTTCAGGGGGCGCTGCCGTCCCTGGGAGGGTCCAATGAGTCCAAGCCGCCCTTGGAAGGGTCCCCGATGCACCTGGGAGGGTCGCAGGGGGCACCACCTTACCTGGGTGAGAACCAGGTCACCAGCTGCCTCTGGGATGGGTCCATGGGGCCTCTGCTGCCCTTGGGTGGGTCCCAATGGCCCCAGCCACTACTTGGATGTTCCCTGCCGCACCTTGGAGGTTCCCTGAGAGCGCCAGCCCTGTATGGTCTCTGGGGGAACTTGTTTTTGTGTTATTTATAACGCTGGGAGATGCAACTACATCGCCCATCATCACATTTCCAGTATTATCGCATACTTAAAAACGGAATGGAGAATAATATCCAACAGGAAAACATAAGTTGGGGTGTTGTGCTGACTGACTGCTCTCTTCTCCTATTGGCTGTAATTTGGTGGGTAGATATTTTAGTCCACCAATCACATTTAAGGAACTGATGGACGTATAAAATATATACCTAGGCACGACCAGGAGTGCTATAGGGCCCCTGGACGTGCAGCCCCTTTAGTGTCCCAAGGGGCCCCACTGCCCCTGGAGGGTCTCAGGGCTCACTGCCCTCCCTGTATGGGTCTCAGCGGGTCCCGCCTACCCTGGAAGGGTTCCTAGGGGTGTTGTCACACTTGGGAAGGCATCGCAGGCCTCCACTGCCCTTGGGAACGCCCTTAGTATCCTCGCCGCTTCTGGGAGGGTTCCTGGGGCTTCCTCTATCCATGAGAGGATTCCAGGGGGCGCCGCCGTCCCTGGGAGGGTCCAATGAGTCCCAGCCGCCCGTGGAAGGGGCCCCGACGCACCTGGGAGGGTCGCAGGGGGCACCACCGTACCTGGTTGAGACCCAGGTCACCAGCTGCCTCTTGGTGGGTCCCTGGGGCCTCTGCTGCCCCTGGGTGCGTCCCAAGGGCCCCGGCCACTTCTAGGAGGTTCCCTGCCGCACCTGGGAGGTTCCCTGAGAGTGCCAACCCTGTATGGTCTCTGGGGGCAGTTGTTTTTGTGTTATTTAGAGCGCTGGGAGATGCAACTACATCGCCCATCATCACATTTCCAGTATTATCGCATACTTAAAAACGGAATGCAGAATAATATCCAACAGGAAAACATAAGTTGGGGTGTTGTGCTGACTGGCTGCTCTTTTCTCCTATTGGCTGTAATTTGGTGAGTAGATATTTTAGTCCACCAATCACATTCAAGTAAGGAACTGATGGACGTATATAATATATAGCTAGGCACAACCAGGTATGCTATAGGGAGGAGGGATGTGGGTATGGAGGAGGGCTGAGGAGTGTGGGTCTGGAGAAGAGGAGGGGTGTGGGTATGGAGGAGGGCTGAGGAGTGTGGGTCTGGAGAAGAGGAGGGGTGTGGGTATGGAGGAGGGCTGAGGAGTGTGGGTCTGGAGGAGGGGTGTGGGTATGGAGAAGGGGTGTGGGTATGGAGGAGAGGAGGGTGGGTATGGAGGAGGGTGTGGGTATGGAGGAGGGGTGTGGGTATGGAGGGGATGTGGGATATCGAGGTGGGGTGTGGGTATGGAGGAGGGATGTGGGTATTTAGAAGGGGTGGTATGGAGGAAGAGTGTGGGTATGGAGGAGGGATGTGGAGGTGGGTATGGAGAGGGTGTGCGATGAAGGAAGAGTGTTGGTATGGAGGAGGGTGTGTGGGTATGGAGGAGGGGTGTGGAGTGTGGGTATGGAGGAGAGGTGTGGAGGAGTGTGGGAGTGTGGGTATGGAGGAGGGGTGGAGGTGGGTATGGAGGGAGGGTGTGGAGGTGGGTATGGAGGAGGGGTGGTGTGGGTATGGAGGGAGGGGTGTGGGTATGGAGGAGGGATGTGGAGTGTGGGTATGGAGGAGGGGTGGGTATGGAGGAAGAGTGTGGGTATGGAGGAGGGGTGTGGGTATGGAGGAAAAGTGTGGGATGGAGGAGGGATGTGGGTATGGAGGAGGGGTGTGGAGTGTGGGTATGGAGGAGAGGTGTGTGTATGGAGAAGGGATGTGGAGTGTGGGTATGGAGGAGGGTGTGGGTATGGAGGAAGAGTGTGGGTATGGAGAAGGCGTGTGGGTATGGAGAGAAGGGTGTGGGTATGGAGGAAAGGTGTGGGTATGGAGGATGGTTGTGGGTATGGAGGAAGTGTTGGTATGGAGGAGGGATGTGGAGTGTGGGTATGGAGGGTATGTGGGTATGGAGGGATGTGGGTATGGAGGGTGTGGGTATGAAGGAGGTGTGGGTATGGAGGGGTGTGGGTATGTAGGAAGTGTTAGTATGGAGGAGGGATGTGGGGTGTGGGTATGGAGGGTGTGTGGGTATAGAGGAGGGTGTGGGTATGGAGGGGGGTGTGGGTATGAAGAGGAGGGGTGTGGGTATGGAGGAGGGGTGTGGGTATGGAGAGGGGTGTGTGGGTATGGATGAGGGTGTGGGTATGGAGGAGGGATGTGGGTATGGTGGAGGGATGCGAGAGTGGAGAGCGTGGACGAGGGGTGTATATAGTATATATATTTATATAGTATACAATCTAAGATGAAAATTTTCTAACCTGAGTAACTGAACTCCAGTTAATTTTCAGAAATCATGTAATAGATATTAACAACTGTAATCTTGATTTTAGATCAAATAAATTATACTAAAAGAATAGTGCAACTGTGTATGGTACCTTGTAAATTGTTGTAATACAGTTAAGTGGTCAACTTTTTGTGACTATCCACTTAAAAAGTCCCGGCATTTAAATGGATTACACTTAAAAACTCAGGATAAAATTTATGGATTTAAAACTCCCGATGAAATCTACGGACTTTTAGCTTCAGCCTTTGACATTTCACCTTCCTGGCGTCATGCATGCACACAGGTGTCCCTGCGCCAGTCTCCCGCTTTGTTTTGTCCAGAGCAATGCGGTGTTGTGTTTACTTCTGCCTTTGTTGTTTCTCTTCGTGCATGTTGTGGTGAATCATTTGATCATTTTTGTAGCCATGAGTTCCCAACCCACACAGGGTGGTGCAGCCTTCAAAGGGAAGCACACTAGCTATTGTAAAATTGTAGAATTAGAAGTGATTAGATGAAAGAAGAGTGGGAGTGGCCAATCCATCCAGTGCTGTTTCTGCTTCATCATCCAACTAATTCTACATCCCCCCAACTCCCACCTCCATCAATCTAATCAAGCCAAACATCTCAACCTTTGAAGCTAAGAAAATAAAAATATTTTTTATGTTAAAATCATTTATTTTTAGAACATTACAATAAGTATTTTGTCTCAATGAACCACTGAAGTAAGTGTGCACCACCGAGTCGCTGACACCACCTACGTTGTCTTAACACACCAATGCCAATGAACTTTAAGGACGTTAGATAAGTTATAAAGTTAAATAATTTCTTAAAATAGTGCTATCAAATGTTTAACAAATATTTCTAAGGTAAATAATTGTTAAAAGATATCATATAAATTTTGTTGAGGGTTGTGTACTAAGTTGTGGTCCTAATTTGATCCATTTCCATTATTTCTTACAGGATTAATTATCCGCTTAAAAGTGATTCGTTATCAGAGGCGTTTTTCCGGTCTCAATTAACCACGGATAATAAGGACCACCTTAACAAGTTCTTAAGTAATTTACAGTTAAATGAAATCTACAACATCAATGTTTTACTGAGGAGTTGCAGTCCTGGTTTGAAATGTGAATACAGCGTCAACATTCCCAGAAGAACACTGCATGTGATTCCGGTGCATCACTGACAGATCTTCTGAAGCAGTGTGATGTTTCCTGATATTTGAGAAGCCCTACTGATCTTGACACTTCCAGCCTCCACTTGTTGAGTAGAGCGGTCATTTAGCACACTGAGACAATGTCAACTGAACACTTGTCTCGATTGTGCATGCAAGAGCATGCATCAATAGAAGGTGTTAGATAGAAATAATGCCTTCACTGAAGATGAGATTGATCGTTTTAGAGCTAAGTGCCGCCTGCAGTATTTATTTAACCATTGAAAGTACACTGCTTATGTTCTGAGCAAGTCTTCATCACGACAGACAGCTAGCATTGGTCATCCCTAGACTTTTAGGATCAATATAAAATTATTTATTTTTGTTAATGATTAATAACTTGGTGATGACAGTGATTAGTGATATTGCTAATCATACAGAACTAAAAAAAAACGATCTCACTTTCATATTGTTTATGTATACAGTATACCTGTTTTAAATAAACTGACCTGTCAGATGTAGTTTTACTGTCTTGCACCCCTTGGAAGACATCCTGCGGATGCCCACAGGTATGTGTACAAATGGAAGATGAACTGAATACTAGAAGAGCTGAAGGAAAGAAGATACTAAGTGCATTATGAAATTGAGGGAGAGAAAAATAAATGTCCTGTCGATAAGAATCGGCATAAATTCTATATCAGGAAACAGCAAACAATTTAAACATTATTATATAATAAAAAACATTATTATTTAATCAATATAAAAAAACAAGCAAAATTTCTATTTACAGGAAAACACCACCAATTTAAATATCACATGTAGCATTAAAAGATTTGTATCAAATATCTAACCCATAATGCTGCCTATGATCCCAGAAGCTTTTGCTGGCTTTTAATATTTCTGCACCCACTTCTGCTTTTGATCCATATTCAAGATAGGTTGGGGTGAGTTCTCGGTAAGTGATGCAAACTCTTCGCGATGGAATGTCTTCTCGTAATATTCCATGCTCCCAGTTATACCTGGCAGGGCCATAAAGAACCAAGAGCGAGCGCTGTGGCATGGGTAATCGCAGTACATATGGCTTACCATCCCTTGAATAAGATGGAGTAGCATTCTTCTCACCTTCAATATCTTTTAGCAGATTTTCCTTTGGTTTCTTACTTTCATTTCTTTTTTGATAAGATTCTCTGAATTCCATTTCAATTTCTTTTTCTTCCTTGACAATACCATCCTCTCTCATAACAGCAGGATAACCTTCTGTATCAATCAGATTATACTTAGTTCTTGGTCCCTCAAATTTCCTCATTGTAAGAGTGGAGCCAATTAATAAACTCAAAGTAGGAATTCTTTCACCCCATATCCAACAGTCATCAATATGAGGGTCAATAGAAGCACCTTTTTCTAATGAGTAATCAAGAGAACATTGTTCGACAGTCTGGAAACCTTTAAGAACATTAACTTTATTAAAGCGGTCTTGGATAAATTTGGTGAATGATGGATAACCAGAGAAGGTCTCTGTCCTCACACGTCGCTTCTTGAAATTACATTTTGGCCCATAATTCTGAAAAAAGAAAAAACATTGTGTGTGTGTATATATATATATAAACAGTAGTACCCCGATTTACGCGGTCAATTGAACCCACAGGGTACCGCGGAAAGTGAAAACTGCGTAAAGTGAACAACAGAACATATGGGATTAATTCCAATAGAGACTGGCCCGACCCCCAAACTCCACTTTTTCCGACACAATACCTATGTTCTAGTAAAAATAACATCTAAATTTTATGATGGTATGCTCACACAATTAATATTTAAGAGAAATACAGTCGCCAGGTTAATGTCCATTCAAATAATGGACTCAAATCCCCCCCCCCCCTCTTCCCAGCTCACTGGCTCCTACCTCTCTGAGAAATGATTGGGTGAAACACTAGATTTTAATGTTTAGTAATAAATAATACCTCAGACTAAAGTTAGGATAATATAATTAACATTTCTGGATTCCTTGCAGGTCAGGGAATATTTTGAATGTAAACTTCATATATTTTGCACAAAAGATAAAATACTTGCTTTGTGTAAACCAAATTATTACATTAGATCTAAAATTTGTATGTCTAATGCAAAATCCATGATGTTTATATTCTAAATGATCATCATATTGTAAGAATTCCAGCAATGTAAATTATATTCTGGCCGGGTAATTTGTATGAATTTTATGAGCTAAATAAAAAAAAAAAAATTATACTTCACGCGTATATGAGTAGATGCACATGGAGAAAGTGAAAGTCCAGTTCTGGCAAGGTACTGAAAGTGAAACCGTAAAAGCGGTAATACTCTGTGTATATATATATATATAT